TTTCTATGGTATACTGAAAAACAATAAGCATATAAGTTTTAAAGGATTTTATTGGCAAAAAAATAATTTAAAAATTTATATATATATACACACACACACTATGGGCCTGTTGAATGCTTGAATCTGATTGGCTGATGAATGTTCGAAGGTGTGCAATTATTTTCAGGGAAATTCATGAGTAGCTCCAGGCAGGTCTTGACCACATTACATGTCCATATCACTTCGGCAAATGATTTTAGTTATTTCAAAGTTCTTTACAGCCTACAACAGCAAAAGAATCAAAACCCACAACGATACTGACCAAGCAAATAAATTGAGTAAACAAAAGAATTTTAAAAAAAAATTATTTCTATGTTTTTGCCACAAAGTTACGTTTTATGTATGGAGAGCACATACTCTATTTATCTGTCTTTCTCACTCTCTCTCTCCCTCTCTCTGTCTAATAACTTCATTATTAACTGCATTAGTCTGCTATCAATGGCTCAAGCCTCCATTACTAGGTCTAAAATTATGTTTTGGAATTAGCAATGGAGGCGTTGGATGAGATGCATAAGAAACTAATCCTACACACGAGTGTTTTAAGGTCAAAAACCTGACGAATGTCTTGAAATATATCATCTGAACAATATGTGAAGCATAGCAACTGTAGTAGAAGCGGAATAATTGACTCTGGTCTGTTGAATTATTAAAAAGTAATGCACACCTGAGGTGTAACATCTTCTAATAATTCAACGGCCCATCATCAATTATTCCTTTTTTATATATATATATATAAATGGCATACATGACAGAAAACTAAAACGTTTTTGTTCTTTTTGTTAAATTATTTTATATTTGTTATTAAAAATAAATACAAATCAAAAGATAATGAAAAGATAAAAAGGAAATAAAGAGTGCTTTAAGTTTTTCAGGTGGGTTTAGTATTCAGATACAAACTACTACAGAAATTGAATAATCACATGTAAAATAAAACCGTATGAATTTTACCGTATGAATTCAAAATACGCTGGTCATTATTAAAGCTACTAAAGTTCTTCAGTCAGACAGCAGCAGGTTTATAGGCTACTGCCACTTTAAGACCTAACACATGGACCCATACCGATTTCTGCTGTGTTTGTTTTTTGGGTTTCTTTTGTGCTTATTTTGCAGTTAAATGCTAAATTATGAAGGATCGCAAAAAAACAACAATTTTGTTGATTTTGCACTGTGTTCCACAATCGCTGAATCTCACCAAAAAAAAAATGGAGTGACTGAATAAAACATTATAAGCCGAAAAAGGAAAACTCATCTTCTCACTAGTCCGCTTTTATGGTTTATAAACGTTGTTTATATTTGGACAAACTTTTCAACTCGTGGATTTTATATAAAGAATTTTGATTGAATTTAAGATTAAAAGAGTTGGCGGAAGCATATTGTTGGTGACATAAGTCAAGTGACTGTGTTGTAGTTCGTTATTTTAGTTTTTACTTCTGGCGATAATATTTAGGCCATTTAATGAAGTTGTTAATTTGTGAAGATTATCTTAATGGACAACTCATGCAACTCACCTCCACTTCCCACAATGCTTTGCTGCTGGTGGCAGAGGTGGCGGACTGGCGGCCGGTGGTTCGCAGGAACACATATTGCTTCTTCCTGTGTTCATCGCAAGTGAGAAACTTCTCCTGCTCGGCATGAAACAGCCGAACCACGTCACCCTTAGCAACCAGAAAGAAGGAATTAGCAACATCACATTCTAAAATATGTCATGTGTCTGTGAGGCACCTACCCCTTTAAGAATGGCTTCCTTGTTGTCACTCCATTTCATAAATAAAACAATCTTCCAGCTAGTGTTGCAGTTCACCGAGTTCACCTGAGGAGAACGGAGAGGACAAAGGGAGGAGGGAGCATCATAAGACAAACTATGGTATTTTTTGAGCATGAGCACTTACTAAAAACAATCATTCACAATGCAGAGCCATTCTGGCAGAGAAAGTGGCTCTTAAATTAGTGTTATCATAGCATAATAGCTTTCACACTAACACTGGGTTCAGGATGTTCTAATTGCATGGGCATTAATTCCAGTTTTATGCAGCAGAAGTTAATTTAGCGCTGGTTTACAGACAGTCCGTTTCCATTTAAAGCACTTATTGCAAAGCCGTTAAGAGCAGAATTGTACTAATAGTGTTATTTACATACATTCACACTACATGGTGTAATGCACAAAAGGATAAAACTGAAAGAAAAAGCAGATAAACCTCGTTGCAGCCAGGATTGTCCACCAACTGATGGCTGCTGGCATGTAGAGGCTGTCCTGCATTTACGGGATTCAAAACCACTTTATCCCCAATAACAACCTAAAAGAGACAAAAGCTCAAAATTAAAACATTTTTTTTGAAGAAATTGTTTGTGGTTGTAGCACGAGCAAAGACAGGCTGTCCCTCACAATTTTTATGTGACTGTCACGTCAACAACTTTTACTTCTATGGTAAAGCCAGGGGGGAAAAGTAAATAAATAAGCAAGCAACTAAATAAACTGAATAGATTTGAATAAAATGAATATAATTTATTTGATTTAATTTTTTGGTCACACACAAGCATACACTACGATGTGCAGTGAAATGTTTTTTATGACCTTCTGAACATAGAATTAAATTTAACAAAAAAAATTATAATAAAAACAGAATGTTCAACACAATGTAGAAAATATCATTTAAAAAACATAAGACAATGTATAAAAACAAGGATAGGATACAATGTATTATTATTCATTCGTATTTTATTATGATTTTTTATTAATAAACATAAATGTATTTATTTACTTTCCGTTTTATCTTTTTTAGTGTTGCAACTAAATGCTTGTGTTTTTCTACCACCCTAACCTAGAAGACATTGAAACTTCAACTTTATAACTAAATTACTGCCATGCAACTGTACAACTTAAGTCTGGCAGACTGTCACACACAAAAAAATCCAATAATGCATCTACACAACAGATTTTTATGTTCTATACTACAATCTACTAAGCTCAAAATAAATACATTTTAATGTACTGTATTTAAGCTCATTTAGATAATTTCACTAACTGCTTTTAAATTGTATAGCTCAACACAACCAAATTTAAGTTAATATACTGTAGTGCCACAGTTTTGCAGTTATTTATATAAGACCAGGCTCCGTTTAGTTTCAAAGTATTGTCATGGCTTTCCGTTACGGAGGCTCAGTGTCAGCGACGTTCTCCCACAGAGGCCATTTTTAATGGCATTAGCAGGGGAATTCAATGCTGTGAGCTTTGACATCATGTAACAGTCAGTGGAAGCTTATGTAAAAACACGCTTTACCCCAGAGATCAGCAGCGGATGACACCCCATGGCCCCCATACAACAACATCTAATGGAGCAAACGAAGACTGTTTTGTGTCTGGTTCTGTTTAGATTGCATCTTTTACAGATGGTTAAAAGTTGTAGCTACAGCTCAGGCCATTTAGAGCCCCTGGTGCATAGCAGAGTACATTTGACAATCCAAGTTCCATTTATTTAGTTCTAAATTCCAGGTGGATGCTGCACACTGGTGGTGATGAGGAGATCCCCCTGACAATGTAAAGTGCTTTGAGTGCCTACAAAAGCGCTATATAAATGTAATGAATTATTATTATTATATAAATTCAGCCTTACACCAAGGAATTGCACCGGAGACTGCTTGAAAGCAAGTGTAGAGTACTGAATTTATATGATTTGGCAGGACAACATTTCTCATTGCTGCTCACCTCTGCAGAAGTTGCCTTTGGGCAACAAACATCTTTTACAGATGGTTAAAAGTTGTAGCTACAGCTCAGGCCATTTAGAGCCCCTGGTGCATAGCAGAGTACATTTGACAATCCAAGTTCCATTTATTTAGTTCTAAATTCCAGGTGGATGCTGCACACTGGTGGTGGATGAGGAGATCCCCCTGACAATGTAATGTGCTTTGAGTGCCAAGAAAAGCGCTATATAAATGTAATGAATTATTATTATTATTATATAAATTCAGCCTTACACCAAGGAATTGCACCGGAGACTGCTTGAAAGCAAGTGTAGAGTAGTGAATTTATATGATTTGGCAGGACAACGTTTCTCATTGCTGCTCACCTCTGCAGAAGTTGCCTTTGGGCAACAAGTATCATGATACATACACTACTGCTAAAAACTTTGATGTCAGTAATTAAAAAATTTTTTTTTTTTTAAAGTAATTTGAATGACTTTTCCTGAAGTCCACAATCATCGCCACTGTTTTGAGCGTGTTGATCTCCAGGTTGTTAAGACTGCACCAGACAGCCAGCTGCTCGACCTTGCTTCTACAGTATATGCAGACTCATCACTGTCCTGGATGAGGCCGATGACTGTGGTGTCGTCTGCAAACTTCAGGAGCTTGAGTCAGTAGAGGTGCAGTCGTTGGTGTAAAGGGAGAAGAGCAGTGGGGAGAGAACACATCCCTGAGGGGCACCAGTGCTGATGGTGCGGCTGTTTGACATGAATTGCCGCACTCTCACTAGCTGGTGATCCATTGTATTGAATGCTGAGTGCTGGGATGATTGTATTGAAAGCTGAACTGAAGTCCACAAACAGGAGTTTCACATAAGTCCCTGGTTTGTCTAGATGTTGTAGGATATAATGCAGTCCCATGTTGACTGCATCATCCACAATAGTATCATAACTTAACACTATTCAGCAAGGATGCCTTAAACTGACAGTAAGTGACAGTAAAGGCATTTATAATACAATTTTCTAAAATATTTCTATTTTAAATAAATATTGTTCCTTTACACTTTCTATTCATCAAAGATAATGGAAAAAATCTATTACAGTTTCCATTACAGTACTTAAAAAAAAAAAATTTTAAATCTGACCCCAGCTTATCTTACTTTAACTGTTTAAACTGTGTGTTTTTTCACTCACACTGTCTCCTATGGAGCGGAGTTTGTAAAAGGGCTGTATGTAGAACCAGGAACCTTCATTTCCAGCCGAGTCCAGCGTCACACGCATGGCGTTCTTTTCCAGCAAAGCAGGCAGTCGTTTATTCACCGTAAGGTACTTATTGCTTTTTAAATGCAACAGCTGCAAAATGGAAACCACACAAATGTCCGATTTTAATAGTGCAAGGAACATTATATAGAAAAGCTGGTATACCCATGAAACCCTTTTAGCTATACACATGAACATACTCAAGGTCACATGGCACAGTCTTACATTATGATAAATTATGTAGAACAATTATGAATGCAAGCTCAATGACACAGACACTAAAATAACACCGAACAATGGATTTCTGTCCTGCCAAGACCTCAATGGCACAGTGAGATCCCTCTGCCAGCTGGCTGACCTACCTGAATAACATTTCCGTACTGTATCACAGTTCCCAGCAGCTTCCGGTTTTCTGATTCATTCTGTTTCTTCTCTAGATCAGCAGCATGCTGAAAAACAGAGGTGAAAATGCAGAATAAAATGACAACAAATACTGTATGTAAATTCACATAAATGAAAGGTCTAGACAAGTTTATAAAACAAAATTTAAATGAATTATTTGATATATATGTAATGAAAATGAACCATATTTACTGTCATATTTAATAAAAAAAATGACGCGTAATTTAAGTCCAATTTAATTCAAGATTCAATAAGATTCAGTAAAAAGGAAACTTGTTTCCACCAGGGTATAAAAAATAAAAATAAAAAGATAACTGACTTTTTATCTCACAAAACATTTTTCTCCTTGCGAGTTTACATAATGCGAGTTTGTGTCCTGCAATTACATTTTGTTTTTTGCTACAGAATTAAAACAATGTTAACTGCATGTTTTTTCGTTTTGTTTTTTACAAAGCTCAATTTAGCTCAATTTATTATTTTATTTTATCATCCCGTGGTGAAAACAAGCTTCCATAAGGGGCATAAGCCTGGATCCACAAAACCAAAATGTGGTACATATTGAACTCACATGTAATTTGTTGAGGAGTACGGTGTCTGTGGTGCTGTTTCCACCAGGTTTTGCTGCTTTCCAGAACTGTTTCTGGGCTGAGTACCTGTTCATTGGACACAACTTGAACAGACAGTCTGGAAGGAAAAGCAGAAAACACACAAAAACACCTTAAGTTCACACAAACATTTTCATCTGCCTTTATACTGTGCTAATCTTTTTTTTTTTTTTTGGTATGTATGTACACCTACAGTACCATCAGGAAGGCCCAACTTCATCCCAAGGCCCAAGGCTACCACTTCATCAACACTAAACCAGAAATGCGTTCTCTTTAACTTATACATCACTGTAAATTATTTAGCATTATCACTATTTATCAAAATATTTTTTTTATTTGTTTGTTTTATTTCCTTAAAAATGAAAAAAAAAAATCATGAATATGTCTTTAACACATTATTATTTATCTTTTAGAGGTTTAACAAAAAATAAAAATCTTTTCAAGCCCCCCTTGAAACTGATTTAGTTGTTGGGAATCACTGGACTAACTGACCTTGAAAACACAAAACAAAGACTGCCATATATCCATCAGTACTGAATCACCAAGGTGTATTTAGCCATTTTTAGAAAGGATAGATGCATGTTAATCTAAGGGACATTGTGACCCACTTAATTGTACACTTTATTATTCAATGAAATCATGAGGGTACCTGTGACTGCAGGCACAACTAACTAGAACAATTTATTTAGTTTGCAATAGGATTCAAGTTTGGCACATTAGTTAAAGGTTTCCTATTATGCTCTTTTACAAAGTCTTGATTTTGTTTTAGGGGTGTACTAGAACAGGCTCTCATACTAGGTTGTTCGAAAAACACATTCTTTTTCACATATTTTACATTATTACAACCAGTGACGGTGCTACACCGGGGCTAGGGGGGGCTATAGCCCTGTCAGAATTTTGAATAGCGCCGGTTTAGCCCCCCCCTCCCTCGGTTTAGCCCTCATTTGCACTAAACCATGGCAACAGATGTATCGTCATTCTGTAGACTATATGCAATCCATTACATAGTCACTAAGGTTGTGATGTGGTGTTCGTTTTAATGTTTTATTTAAGTTTTAAGTATGCACAGTTCTGATTATGCATATGTATTGTGTTGTTAATGCTGAGCGCACCGGTGCTGTTTGCACATATCTCACACAGTAACCGCTGTGTCATGTGAGCGCAGTTTCTTGCATTATATGCTACATTTAATCCATTACATAATAATCACTAAGATTGTGATGTGGTGTTCGTTTTAATGTTTTATTTAAGTGTAAAGTATGCACAGTTCTGATTATGCATACAAATGTATTGTGTTGTTAATGCTAAACGCATGGGTGCTGTCCAGTTCTGAAGTCTTTCCTTTGTATGTAAAAAGTTTTTGTCGTTGTCTTATGGTCACTTGTATTAAGATTATATCTATTTTGATGAATTTGCCTATTCATTGGCAAAATATAAGTACAAAATATAAGTACACTTCTGTTGAATATGGTGTGTACCACAGTTGCTTTTATTTAAAAAAACGACAATTTCTTTATGAAGTAACTCTGACGTCATTAATATCATTTATTTTCTTAGCACCCCCACATATTGGTCTAGCCCCCCCTTAGCACCGGTAGAGAAACAATTCTGGCGCCGTGCCTGATTTCAACACCTCTCTCCCCAGTCCGGCATGAACAGCTCGAATAGTTCCTGTATCAAATGAAGGCCCGCCTTCTGAAATAAGAAATGTGCTGTGATTGGTTAGCTGGGCCAATGTGTGTTGTGATTGGCTCCACTCGGCGCCTGGTCAGGAAATGTAACGGCCCTTACCATACTGCGAGCTTCAGTGTAAATATTGCGTCAAAATCAAATCAATTTGAGTGCGATTTAAACCCGCATGATTGTAACCACTCTAAGTTTGTCTGCCTTGGGAAAGCTAGCGTGTCTCCGACATCGTGATAACACTGGTTACCTTCTCTAGTGCAGCTCAACCAGGTCTCGTCCCATTCGTCGATATTTGTGATATCACAAATACCGGAAAATATGCGTTGTAGTCCAAACGAGTCGTTCGTTGTAGTTTTTGAAAAGTGATTTTGAGCTTTGTAACTTTGCAGATCTTTTTTATGCTCAAACAGCAACATTACAGACTAACTAAAGTTGAAGAAGTGAAAAAGTATAATAGGACCCCTTTAAATGACTGGGTCACTTTGCCAGTTTAAGTTCAAAAGGTAAGTCATGTAGTCATGTAGATCACACACCCCAACCATAGTGTCCAGTAAAATATGTAACAAAAAAAACTATATACCCAAGCAAAGGTCCATAATTTCAACCAAAAAAATTCAAAATATTTAGTGAAAAATTAGGTAAAAAAAGGTAAGAGCAAATTCATAATCACAAAATCGAATTCAAATAAATGTGTCCCATGTTAAATAGAAATAATCAAAGAGTAAGAATATTTAATCATTTTTATTCATCAGCATAACAAAATATTCATCTCCAA